ATATATATATATATATATATATATATATATATACACACACACTCACAGGATGTGGAGTACAGCATAGGGAATATAGTCAATGGAACTGTAACAGCTACACACGATGTCAGAGGGGTAGCAGACTTTGTGAGGGGTGTAAATGTCCACTCATTATGACGTTTTGTACATCTGAAACTAATAAAAAAAACCCTAAAATAAAATAAAATGCTCAAACAGCCAGTCTGACTCCCTTACCTTCTTCAATCCTTTGCTCCAATGTCCTTCTACTGTGTTTGAAACTGCAATCCCACTTCTTGCCATTCCCAATACTCCTGCCCCTTTACTGGTCCTATACCCACTCCCACAGCCCACTCTGTGTTTTCTTTTCATAACATGTTTCATCTTTAAATATACAATATTTACTCATTTATTATTTGTTTGTGTATTTGCTCATATTCTGTCTCCTGCTGCTATAATAGAAGTTTTATGAGGGGAGGGTCCATTGCTTTCACTTACTGTTTTTGAAGCACTTAACAGCAGTGCCTGGTACATGGCAGGAGCTTACTAAATATTTTTGAATGAACGAATCCTCACTCCTTAGATTAGCACCTTACTCTAACAATTCCTTTTCGGTCTCAAGGACCATGCATAATAGCTGAACCAGTCAAAGAAGACTGAAGCACTTTGTTTTAAAATCTTCCTCTTTTTATGCTCACAAGCAGCTCTCCCCAGGGCTGTTGAGGTTGAACAAAGGCTGCCTTTACTTCTTGATTCTATCCAAAGTTTCCATTGGGCCCAAGTGTCCAGTCAACATCTGTGAGCTTTCTTCCTAAGTGCACACTTCCTGTCACCCTCTTGGCTACCAAAAACACAAAATGTTTTATCCACCGCAACCAGATAATCTGTACGATCACCCGTTTAGATGAGACAACTGAAGTGATACATGCCTGGCTTCTTTCCTTCCATTTCTTTTCTTCTTCAACCTTCCTTTTCTCTTGGTTTCCTTCCCTCCCTCCTTTCCTCTTTTTCTCCCTTCCTTTTATGGAATCTTTTTAAGCTGGCATGGCTTCTATTAGAATTAGAAGCCAAGACATTTTCGTATGAACTGGGCATGACAGACCTCAGTACTCTACGTTTTTGCCCTTGCTATGCTCAACATGACACCCAACAAACAGCCCCATGACAGGTAGTAGGTGTGGTGGTTAACAGCATAGATCATGAGCTACTTTGCTTGGGTTCAAATCCTGGCTCCCCCAATATGAGCTGTGTCAACTTCATCAAGTCACTTTCTATTTCTTCAGTTTTTTCATCTATAAAATGGAGATAATGATTTTAGATACTTCATAGAGTTTGGGGACGGTTACATGAGTTAATATACGTAATAGCTATGTATGATGTCAGATGGGTTGTAGACTTGTTGGAGTTATCACTTTGTGAGGGATGTAAATGTCTAACCATTATGCTGTTTTGTACACCTGCAACTAATTATGAAAAACGAGTTAATAGAGGTACATGATTAAAAGAGTGCCTATGCACTGTATAAAAGTTGATTCCCATTACCTTTTGGTAAAATCCAGTCGTCACCCTTATTCTATGTCATGCTCTTATTTTTGCTCTAAAAATGTACCTTTATCAAGGTCAAGGCCTAATTGAGCAAAGAAGGAACCCCTTAGTGAGGGAACAGCACCGTTGCCGGGGAATTCCACACCAAGTTGCATGGAGTGTTTTCCAGGATTTATGTTGGCAAGTGCTGAATAAATGGTACAGGTGCCATTATTTCTTTCAAACTTGTGCTAGTCTGGGTCTCCCTAGAAACAGATCCTAAGAATAGAATACGCATGGAAATGATATACTTGGAAATGATGCTAGTAACCGCTGGTAAGGGAATGGAGAGGGTAAGAAGCAAGCCAGGGAAGAGTACAATATGAGGAAGGCTTCTACTGTGTACAATGGGGTCTCCATCCTGAGTCCCCAGTCCCCCTCATCGGGCATGGGGTACACTCTGAACTTCCAGCCAAAGTGCATCACATGCCTCAGACTTACCCCAACTGAAGGTGTGAATGAGCAGTGGTATTCAGCCACTGAAAGCCATCTGACACTGGTTGAAGTTTGTTGAAGAGATGTGGGGAGGTAGAGCCTTCATCCCTTGAATTGTACAGGCTTTGGGGACTACAGAGAGGCCTAAGGCACAGAATCCCAGGAAGTTGCAGTTGGCAGCTGCTAGTCAGAGTGCAGGGAACGCTCAGTGAGGAGGGGGTATGGGTGAGGACCCAAGAGTATCTCACACGCCAATGGAACTGACGCTTTCAGTAAAATCGGGTATGTGGAGGCATTAGGGTAAATCCTTTCTATTGGGCCTCTTAATGAATCATTCCTGCTTTCCTGACAAGAGTTTTAATATTTAAAGCTCTCAGGGGCACAACTTGTGGAAACTTGAAGTGTGTGACGCTAAAACTGTCAGGGTTCATACTTTATTACTTTAATTTTTTATTCTGATAAGCACACTTAACATGAGCTCTACCCTCTTAAAATTTTAAGTGTACAATACATTACTGTTACTATAGGCACAATGGTGTACAACAGATCTCTGGAACTTATTCGCCTTGCATAACTGAAATCTTATACCATTGAATAGCTACTCCCCATTTCCTCTCCCCAGCCTCTGGAAACCACCATTCTACTCTGTTTTATGTTCATACTTTCATATGAAATACTCTAAAGCAAGATTTGATGATTTCACATAGTAATCATATTTTATCACATGATATTGGCCATTGACCTTTTTCTTAAAAATAAAGTGCAAGTTATTCCTAGTATTGATCAAAACTTTCAAAACAATTCTTTCAAAATTACGGCACTATTATTTTTTGAAATGAATGTTAAGTTTTTACACATGAACAATCACAATGAACTGATTCACAATGCTAACTGGCTTTGATATGAGGATAAATATTACTTAGGTAAAAGTCCCTCATTAATCACTAGTTGTGCCTTAGCTAGTGTATTAGCTATTAGATGCAGATTTCCACATGTTAATAAGGGTTTATCTGCTTAGTCCTTGTCAAAATGATTAGGTAACTTTCTAATTCAATATATCTATGAAAATCATATGTGCTATATTAGTTATATCTTGCTCAGGAAATAATGATTTTAACTTATCACGTTATTTGTGTTGCCTTGCACTTGCAAGAAATATGTATGTTAAACCACAGCAATACCTACTACAGTTCCAAATTTGATTCATGCAAATCTGTCAGAAATAAAATCAACCACAATTTAATTCCAAACCTTCCCAACCAGCAGCTGTACAATTTATGCGCTCCCTTTCTATTTTTACAACTGGATAATGACAAAGATGAATGCCTTTAAGAGGAAATACATATTCATTGAAAGGACTGAGATCAAAACTATCCCCCTTCAAAAAGCCCATGAAAGAAGGAAGCCCATTTGCTTGCTGCAGATCTGTTGGGAGTGAGATGGAATTATGCTCAAAACTACATCTAATGAGGATTCAATAACCCTGTTAAATTAAATCTGCAATCCCTTTTTACAAAACATAGTCATCGATACCATCACAATTGGTGTCAGCTCTAATATTATTCAATATATCTGGAAGAACAAATGATTAGCTATGAGTATAGCCAGGGGCCCATCATTCTGAGAGTGCCAGGTTAAGATGTATCAAGACAAAGATATTCAATTGGCAACTTAATAAGTTTAGGGTCACTGCTCTCCTGACCCATGTGTCTATGAACATGGAAAGGAATGAATATTAGCTCATTAGCAGTGATTTACATGTGGAATGACAATGATGAACTTACAAACTGGGCTGTCATGAGAAATTAGTTAATGTGAATAATGATAGGAATGCTGGCATGTCTCCTTTAACAATGGATTGGGTTTCTTTCCTTCACTGTACTCGTCAGCGATTTGACTTTTACTACAAAGATAGTAAGAAATAGTGCCATACAAAAATGGATGGAGTAGTTCCAGAGAGCCATGCATCTCCTATTTTACTTGAGTGTGTAATTTTATAGCTTATTTGATATAATGCAAGACATAAAACTCAAGTCACTCAAGATATTGCAACTCTGATTTCCAAAACAAAGAGCCTTATCTATTTGTAGACTCATGCAGATAAATGTGTGATATGGCATGAGCTTTCAACAAATCATGTAGAGTACAAAATACTCTGGTTAATAGGTGCTGCTGAGAACAAATTCATCTTCTGTATATAATTTTATGCAATTTGCATTAGAAAATACCAAATTCTGGCTATACTATAATATTTCATTTTGAGTGTGAAATGTATGATCACAAAAATTATCTTGAGACATACATTATTATATACATTTCCTTGATGCTATATTCATTTATCTTCAGATACTTCTCGCTAACATTCAGAGCCTATTTCCTCATCATGTTTTGTCTTAGACTGGAATTCAGAACTGGTAGGTGGTGATTGGAAAACAGCTGGATTTTGTTGGTAGCCTTTGCCTGGTAATTTTCAGGGAACTATTTTATTGCTTTCTATTTAATTAGATTCCATATCGTGTTATATGATACTGACACAAATTTGAAATTGAATATGGGTAAGTGGCAAATACAAAACTAAAACAATAAGCAATAGATACAATCCAAAACCTTGTCTAATTTCTCTTTTTATGGGAGAAGAAAGTAAAATAATGTTTCAGCTGAGAATAAACCATTCCTCTATTAGACCTTTTGTGTGTATGTGTGTGTGTGAGTTCGCCTACCCAAAATGCATGTGAAACCATTATTTTTGTGTATTCCTTTGTTTTAGGAGGTCGCTCAACATTAAATATTATAAAACACCTCTTTTAATTTACATCTTTCTTTCTGCCCCAGATTTCTAAAGCTAACCATCCTATCAAGTGCTTTAAGAATTCCACGTGTAAGTCAAAACGCCCTATTTTATACACGGAAGTCAACTGTTTTGGTAGCGCCAATGATCGCTGTGATCATCTTGTCAAATCTAAATGAAAGTGCTTTGCTTTTACCTTCAGAGACTCCTCTTGTTTAAAGAGATCTTCAAAATCTTTAGCACAGAGGTCGGGAGCATTAAGAAGTTGTTCCACTTCTGATAGAGCTTGTGAGACATGCGTGATCTCAGTCAGATAAGTAGAAGGCACATAAGAAATTTCCAAAGGCATCTCTTCCGTCATCACCATCACCGATTCTTCACGGACAGTGTGCTGGTATAGATATACAAAAGAACAATTCTTTTAGCTTCCTAATAATGAAAAGACCTGTACTGAGTTTATACAGATTCCAGTGTATAGCTGACAGAGGGCTGAAAGTGGATAAAAATGTGTCAATCTAGCAAAAAGGTTATTCTTTATATGCCCTCTCCTTCAAAAAAGTGCTAGCACCTTTTATAATAAGAGATACATACACATTAGCACCATGAATAGAAGAATGAAAGACCAAGAGCCCTAAGGTCATAAGAGGAACAGATATACCATAGGGAAATGATAATTTTGACAACTTTTTTCAAAACAATGGGACTTTAAATTCCTGCAGTAGTTAGTTGGTATGTGGTAGGATGGGGTGGGCTCCACATCTGTGGTATTTATACCAAAGGAACCTTTCCTATACTCCCTCCCCCTCCCCCAATATTGACTGAGGTACAAGAAGGACAAAGTGTTTTTGGCTGGTATGTGCCTTAGTACTAAGCAGCCCTCTCCACCAAATTCCAGACATCGGGTCCTCTCTTCAATGCTAGTTTGTTGATAAGTTAGGCTGCTAATTAAGGTACTAGATGATTAGGACTGAGGGCGGAATTCACATTTTAATAAGAACTCCAGAAAGCCCTAAGATCTAAGGCAGCTTCCGTGTCTCCTCCTTCATCTATACTTTCCTACCTGGCATTCAAGTAATAGGCGTGGTGGATGTTTGGAGCTCAGAGTCCTTTTGGACCTGGCCAGTAGTGCCTCTTTCCCTATTCCTTATAAGAGGAAGAAATAGATCCTATTTGACGTGCAAATTCATAAAGATAGATGACCTCTGCTACCTTCTGTCTACACTATAAGCAGCAAAACTCTTGTAACTGAAATTAGTTTCCCAGTAACTTGGTTTTGAATTGATCAACTGCCACCTGCCTGCTGATGGGGTCAGCTAAGGGTTGGAGGAGCAGGGTCTCTGGGGAAATTCTGACGATAAGCATGCTAACACAGCCATTTACTACTGCACAGCCATCCTCATTTTTGCAGTAATGTAATTAAGCGGAGTTTAGGATCCCAAAATGAAGCCACACAAAGATGAGAAAATTATAAGGTGGTCCAATTTATGCTTCCTTTCTAATTTCTCAGGTACAGGACGCTTGTACTCCATTCTTATGTAATATAAAAATAAATTAATTCTAATTCTGAGTTCACATCTACTTACAGCACTGTACATTCACAGAATTACACAATTTAACTTAAATTACTTAATGAAACCTTTTACAAAGTTTGGTTTCATGTGCAGATTTGACCAAAGACATGACACATATTCCTTCATGATCAATGGAATGACAATCTACACACACTTCTACTTTTCCACTTAAAATAATAATATTATTGAATTTCGGGCTACAGTTTGATGAGGACAATTCATAGATTTAACCATAGATTTTTAAATCGAAATTCTCAGTCTCCTCATTTCAAACCAACCATTTCACCAATTTAAAAGAAAAATATATCAGCAGGCTATTTGAATTTGCAATTTCCACTAACACTAACCAGTAAACAACACACTTCTAGCAAATTTACTGTGACTTTCATACATTGCATTAGACTGGTAACTATTGCTCTGAATAAAAATTTCCAAGTTCATAAATTTGTCTGTTTTATTTGTATCTGTTGCTTCAATTCCAGAGGGTAAAGATAGTTCTACACTATCTGAAACAAGATTAGTTCCTATATCATTTTTATATAATAGCATAGTTATCTTCCTTTTTAACTGTATGTATTTTATACCTGTATGTTTTCATAGAATAGTAGTTTTTGCTACTAGGGACAGAGTTGGAGAGAAGAAAAGTAATATTTTCTCTCTCATACATATGTATGTATGTATGTATGTATGTATGTATGCATGCATGTATGCATGTATGTATGCATTTTTGTTTAACCAAAAGTGTTGTTTTAGAATGAGACTTATCTTCAAAATATTTAGAAAACATCTCAGTCTTATTTAAAAAAAAACAATAAGTTTCAAAAGATTTTGATATCTTTTATCATTATTTTCTCTTAAAAGGAAAATGATTCTAAGTTTTTTATATCTTCTTTCGGGTTTTTTTTTGAAATGTAGTTTCCTAGATCTTCATTACATACATTTTAGATGTTCTCAACTGTCTTAAATTCATATCAGTGCCTTATAAATTATAGTAATTTTGGGTTATAGATAGCAAGGACCTCAACTGAACAGTTAAATGTAATAAAGATAAACTCATACTGGACTATTGCCCTGGATTTAATTTCCTCTATACAATTTAAAACCCACATTTCTAAATCTTTGGTGTTTGTGGCGAATGATATTTTGTTTTGCATACAGGAACTTTATGTAAAAATGAGATTTATTTAAATAGTAATTAATTCTGAACATACAGCTCTGAAATTCACAGTGCTGTGTCTCAGAACTAAGATCCAGCATCGGCTGCAGGCTGAACCCAGGGCTCTAGGAACCAGAACACACTGTGCTCTGGTTTCATTTGTTGAGTTTTGCACCACTGGGCTACATGTGAATGTCACAGATTCTTTTATCAAATATTGATTCATGCACTTCTTTTCCTCATTATGAATATGCATTAGCACATCAAAAGAAATAAAACCACTTTTGCCTGTATTTTAATGGAAATCTCTTTTAGGAAAATGTTATGTGGTATCTATTTAAATCCAGAATTCTTCAAGTAATTGAAGTTTTCTAGTGGGTTCTACAAACCATTTTTGCATTTCTTTTTCCTTAAAGATTAAGCCCTTATTAATCTGATTGTAATACCCTTCAAAGAATCGTTAGCCACTGTATTGCAGGTAGGGCACGATCTATAAATAATATGCTTATTGTGATTATTTTCAAGACTATCATACATAAGTCTTAGAGCAATGGGTATAAATTCATGGAAATTAGTGGACTAGCTATGATGCTTCCTATTCACTCCATGCTCAGACACAACATGATGAGATTCTCCAATCCATTTAGAAATACTAAAACTGTTATGGCTGATGAAAGCAAACAAAGAAATAGAAAGGTATACTCTATCACTTTAGAAAATATCTTATTGAGAAAAACACTGCAATATTAGCTGTCCTTAACTACAGATAAATGAATAATCTATTTTTTCTTTTGCAAAATAAATTAAATTAGAATGCCTATAATTCCTCAATGCCTTCCATTACAATTACCTGTCGGCACTGATTCAGCTGTATTTTGTAAGTTAACTTATAAAAGGTTAGTATCACACATTAGATACATTGAATAAAATCTGATCTATTGGAAGATTTAGCTCCTCTTATCTTGATACATAGTGTCCAGTCATCATGAACAAGAAAAGTTAAATGGTACATATCAGCTGAATAGGGAAGCCTAAGGAATAATCCTGTGAACTTTTATGAAAAATAGAAATATTTTAAAATAATGCTTTGATATCATTGGGAAACGATCAACTCATTTTCTAGGAAACTCAGTTTTATAAATTTTGAATATTCTCATTTATTAGGAAGTTCTAATAGATTTTTTTAATATACAGATGTATATGTAATAGATTTTTAGAGAGATGTATCATAATTTTCATATATAAGAAACTGTTAAAAATTTAATCAAGAGAGTCAGACATTTGAAGATCTAGTTTACTATATACTCCTTAAAATATATCATTCCTTTTGACACAGTCATGTGGGTCTATAATGAATAAGCTATATTCATTGAATGACTTTCAGTTTGGTTTAATAAAAATTTCAGACAGTTACTTAAAAAAATCAGTGTAATTGGAAGTATCATGTTCATTTTCTCTTCTTTATGCAAAACCCATGCACTCATATTCAGATTTTGCCTTTTCATTTGAATTTCATTAACTCTGCCTTGAATAATTATATCCTTCTGAATTCTGATGTGTACAAATCCTGTCTAACCTTTTGAAAATGGACTTGCTTTTGTTAATGTTCTTTACCACCTTATATCATTATAGATATTCATGAGTCATTAGCAAGGAAGTGCTGTAGCCATACTAATTCATTTTATTTCTCTCTGTTCATATTCCTTTCTAATGACATATACCCAAAAGAATACACTGTCCTCATTTTCTGGGAATGAAAATCAAGAGATGTGGAAGAAAACCTCCAAGTACCTATTTTTATTAAGAAATAAAAAGCACAATTGATGCTTAAAAAGTATTATTATAGGACAAAACTATGATTTGTAACACCTAAAGTCAAGGTAAAAACAGTTTTCAGATTTTGAGCTATGTGGGTAACACTCATAAAGTTTTTTTTTTAAAATAACTTTAGTTTCTCTGAAAGTTTAGTTATCACATTCTATTTATTACTTAAAATTTCTTTCTTTTTTGGGAAAGACTGAGAAAATTTATTTTTTCTCTTCCATTGGGACCTTTTATTTTTCAATTATAGTTGACATACAATATTATCAAATTTGTTTCTTGAAGGGCCGCATAACTGTGAAATGAAGGCAATCCTGTTTTGGAACAAATGGTGCATTACATCTAAGTTTTTAAAACAATATGCTTTCCTCCATGATTGAAAGGACTTCTTTCTCCTCAATATAAAAGTTTCAAATGGGTTGTGGTTACTGGCATATTTATGAGTTATGAGGCCAAAGAATCTGAAGAAGGAAAATGTGCTATGTGCCATACTATTATGATATATCCCTTTAAACTCCCTATATATCTAGTATAAATATGGCATATAGGAGATATGTCAATGCCTTCAAAGTCTAACTAACAAAAAAAGACTAGTACCTGGACCAAAAAAGTAATAAAGTGATGGAGCCTTTATTTATCTTTTTACTGTTAGTGTTAATAAAGGAAAAGATGTGCCAAACCTTCAAAATGAAACAATTATTTATTAATGATTTAAAGTAAGTTATGATATGAAAATATGTTAATTTATATCTGATTATCTTTCCTCAAAAAGGCATTCTTAAAATCATAGATTATTTAAAAATAATAATACAATGGTGTGTATATCCCAAATAGGATTACAGG